ATATGTAAGGCTCAGGAAACATCAGGCTGAAAGAATGTAAGAGCCAGAGTGTCAAGACACCTGCTGATGGTGAAGGCATTCTAGACATGATAGGGAACTTACACCAGTGAAATCTCTATATCATTGTATTCTAACAAGATCTTCATATAAAGACAAAACCTGTTGACATACCAAGGTGGATGACATACTGAGGTGGAAATTTCACTGGGATTCCACCTCAGGATGAATTCTACAGGAAATCAATGGATGCTGAGGGAGGGAGAATCAGTTTTCTTCAGAAACTAACTCCCTGAGAGCTTATCTAATTCCAAGTGGGCAGCCCTAAATATAAATATACATCTACATGAGCATCATTAAACGGACTCAGTGTATTACATATGTGTGTGTATTTATAAATGCTGTATGTAATGCAACAATAATAATCAAAGAAGAGAACAAGAAATTGACAGAGAGTTGGGGGACATGGCAGGAGGTGGAGGGGGACTGGGAGGTTGGGAAGTAATGCAAATACAATACTCATGTATAATATCCACGTAAATTAAAATAATAGAAAAGAGTAATAACTTCACGTCCCATGAAAATGATGTGAAATTAAAATTTTTGTGTCTATAAAGCTGTGTGAGAGCAATGCTTACCTTGCTTGGCTACATATTTGTGGCAACAACAGGGTTGAATAGGTACAATACAGGTCATATGACCCACAGTGCTTCACAGCTGAATGAGGCAGTTTTAAAGAGAGGGATTGGCTAATTCCTGGAACAGGTGACAGATCTGGAATCTAAGAGTTTGAGGAAAGTCCTGTCTGCTCAAGGCTACCCAGATGATTTCCATATTTTTTTGACACCAAAGGTTGTAAACCACTACCCTGCGTACCTACTTGGTCATTTTTCTATTGCCAGATTTAGCATATTATGACTTGCATCTCTGCTGCAAGAGGGGGCTTTCCCCAGTCAGTCTGCCTTCTATCACGTCTTTGATCTGTCTTCATTCCTCATCACCTTGCAGGGCACTTAAAGCTTCTCCCTATATTTCTGGTCATCTTCCATTAATTGTTTTGGAACATTTGATGCTCAGTTCTTGACTTTGCGTCTCGTTACACCCTGCTGTGCGTGTCCTGCCCTGCTCTGCGTATATGATTCTTTGAACCTACAGTGCACTTTCCTTTATTCCTGTGACAAATTCACATTAATTTTTCAGTGATTGTATCTCCTATGGTGACTGCCTAATGTTCTTGAGGTGAGGGGAGGCACTTTGTGTTATATAATTCTTTCCTTCTGTCATAGACTTCATCATTTTTTGTAGTAGTCGTTTATCTGTCTTTTCTACTATGTTACACCATCTTTGATTAAGGGTATTTAAAATATTTTAATTGCGTTTTCTCTCTCTCTCTCTCTCTCTCTCTCTCTCTCTGGTGTGTATCTGTGGGGGTCAGAAGATAACTTGCTGCAACTTGTTATTCCACCATGTGGGTCCTGATGTAGTGATCTTTTATTTGTCTTTTCTATATTATACAATTTAAAATATTCAAAATATTTTCTTACATTTATTTTTCTCTCTTTCAATCTGTTTCTGTCTCTGGGCTTCCTCTCTCTCTGTGTGTGTGTTTGTGTGTGTGTGTGTGTGTGTGTGTGTTGTGGGTGCATATTCAGGGGTCCACTTTCCCCCAAGGGGTATATAGGAAGGTCAGAAGTGTGCCTAGAGGTCAGAAAACAACTTGCAAAAGTGGGTGCTCTTTTTCCACCGTGTGGGTCCTGGGGATTGAACTCAATTCATCAGGCTTGACAACAAGTGCCTTTACCTGATGAGTCATCTAGACAGGCTTGACTAAAGGTATATTTATGCATTAGTATTGCTCTGGTATCTAAGACATGACACAGAGACTATACCCAACAAGTAAACCAATCAATTCTTTGTATTCATGATGGGAGTAGACTAGGGTGTCTGTGGAGTGTCTCCATGTGCCTTCCACAACTTGAGAGCCATCATTTCTAGAACATCAGTGACACAGTGAACAGCTACGTGTCTTCATTATTTCCACAGCTCCTGACAAGTGTTCCCAGGCAATATTTTCTGTACTCAGAAACTACCTCTCCCTCCTGAGGTGCTCACAGTCTACAGAAGCTTCTCCATCAACGGAATATTAAGCAAATGTCAGAGCCCAAGAGTTGTGAAGTTCTTTTGAACTGGCCAAATGAGTCCATTGTGCTGAATTTATTCTTTGTCACATTTCTAAGCTTTTTCAGAGAGTGCCAGACTCAGACAACCGTACTGATAAATCAAAGTGCCGCCCTGAGGCCTATGAGCTGCCCCTGCTTATTTCATTAAGGCAGTCACATAGCCAATGACAGAAACAAACATCCCCTTTTATCCTCAAGATCAATGTGTCAACCCTATGAGCAGACCCCACAGATGCTTTCTAAACTCAAAATCCTAGGAAGTTATTATTCATAAATAATGGGACCTTTAGGACTCTAAATTAGGCTTAGTCATTATATTTTAAAATTTTCTCTTTCCTGACAGTGGAAACTGAAATCCAAGGCTGCCCGAAGCTGTCTCAAGTCTAATGTCAATGTCTTTTTGCCTTTATCCATAGTCTTCATATTCCCCACCTATTACTACTTCTGAAATCTGGGATAACATACTTGAGACTTTAAAACGAGGTACAGTGCTGCTGGAGAGATGGCTCAGTCCGTAAAATGCCTCCCTTGCAAACACAGGACCTAAGTATAATTCCCCAAACCCACATAAAAAAATGCAGGAGATGAGTTTGGTGAGCTGGCTCAGGAGGTCAAAGCACTTGCTGCCAAATTTGAGGACTTCAGTCTGACCCCTGGAACCCACACAAAAGTGGACGGAGAAGGTACTCCCTCCAGTTGTCTCCTGACATCCACATGTGTGTTGTGTCATGTATGCACCAGCACACGAGTGTGTACACAGATACAAATAAATAAATGAGTGATGAATGAATAATAAATAAATAAATAACAAATGAATGAATAAAAATAAATAAATAAACCAAAAAGCCAGGAATGATGGTGCATGCTTGTAACTTCCGACACTGGGAGTACAGAGACAGGCAGATTCCTGGGCTTATACTCTAGTCAGCCTAGCCCAATGTGCACGTTCGGCCCTGTCTCAGAATTAACATGGATTGCAAAAATAATGTGGACAGCATTCCTGAGAAGCATCAACCAAGGTAGCCTTCTGATCTCTACATGCACATGCATGCACACATATCTACACACAATGATTCGTTGCACCTACTTTTGTACCCCATTGTGTGTCTGTCTTCTCCCCTCTCCCTCCTGCCCTCCCTTCCTCCCTTCCTTTCTTATCTTCTTCCTGTTTTTCCTTTACTTAAAGGAACAGGGTCTTAGGTAGCCTAGGCTAGCCTCAAACTTGATGTGCAGCAGAGGATAACCTTAAAATCCTGATCCTTCTGCCTCCACCTCATAAGTGCTTGGATGCTGGATGACGGTACGCACGACCCCATGACATCTTCAGCTTTCTCCAGGAACAATCAGCAAAAGGACCGAAGCCTCCAGCTTTGTGCCCTTGACACACACCAGCAAATAAATGTTGAGGCAGAGCAGTCACTGCATTTCTATGTCCACTTTTGTGTTAAGCTTTAGTCTTTCCTGACATATTTCCCCTATTCTTACTCAACTATCTTGAGCTATTTATGAAATAGTTATTAAATCTCAGGCCAGATGTTTATGAAATTGTAAAGATGTGGAAGGCGGAATTTTGATCCTAGCACTGTAGTTTTTTTATGCTTGCAGCTGCTGCCTGAGCCTAATTCTAGATTCACCATTTTCCAGAATTTTACCAGGTGAGATTTTCCTTTAATTGAGTTAACTCCCAGCTCTCTCCATTTAATCAACTTTGTAGGCCTTGGGTCTGTGCCATTGTTAATCTTCAGGACTTAATACCGGTCGTGGGATTCTGCCAATGGAGACTTTAATTAATTTTTGACAGGTTAAAAACATGTCCTCTAGCTTGATTCTGAGTTTTTGCTTCTTGTGTCTTTCTCTTTTTTCCCTAAAGGATGATATCACCACACAGTAGACAATATCACCATGCCCTTTCCCTAACTTTGGCCACAATGGTCACATGCAGCTGACACTTTGATAGCAGCCCTTGAAAAGCTCTCACTGAAGACCATGAGCAGAAAGAACGTCAACGAGCCCTTGAATTGTTCCTGACAAAATGCTCTCTCACAGATACCTTTTCCCCCTTATGTTCTGCAACTCGATATCTTAAGATCAGATAGTAAAGTCAGAGAATGAAGTGGAAGTCACCTGCAGTTAAAACCATTTCTAAAAACTTCCCAGTATCAACACCAACTTTCTATTTTATTGTTTTGCATTTTTCTTGTGCAGTGGAAGCCAAGGCTATTTTGAAGGTAAATGAAGAATACAGCCTGGTAAAAGATGTTTACACATCCCTGCAATGCCAACACTTGGAATGTTGGGTCGGGAGGCTTGAGAGATTGAGGTCAGCCTGGGCTACATAACAGACCCTGTTTGAAAGCCAAGAATGATCAGACAAACCAATGGATAACTCTTTATGCCTTTCAGCAAAGAATTACATTTGAGAATGCTATGAATATAAACCCACTGTCTCAAGAACCAAGTTGCTTCATATGGAAATATATGTTCTGAAACAAAAATAGACAAGCTATGATCATACTATACGTCATATAAGGGAAATTTACATGTTTCAGTCATGAACCTGAAATTATCAGTCTTAAAATACACTACCTCAATAAAGTTCACCGTTTTGGGTTTAAAACATATGTTTCTTTTCACAAAAGGGAACAGTGAGCATTATCTAACTTGGGTAAGAAGCTGTTTCCTTAACGTATTGGAGAACTTGGAACTACGTCACTTGACTCCAGGGACAACCGTGTCGCCGTTCTGGTGGACTCTACTTTGACCGAGGCCCTGTGGGAATGCTTAGAGAAGCATCACAGAGGATGATGTCACATGCTTGCTTACTTGTTAACACGGTGATTGATCTGGATGGCTTGGTGACCACATTCCCATTGACTACCACCAGTGTGATTATATAATAAAGGCCGTGATAACTGGCTTTAAAGACCACAGGAGGAGGCAAAGTGTGGTTGAATTCCTCAAATTCAAAGAAATAATTTTTGGATTCACCAGTTATCTTCACAACATACACAGATGCTGGGCTGATGACATCTGAAGCTTCTAAAGAGATAACGATATTATTGTCATCTTGGACAGCCACGTGGAACGTTGTAGCAATCTGTTTAGGAAAAGAGAAAGGAAGGAGATAGAGGTCAGATTCAGGTGATGGATAATAAAGTTACACTGAGGTAAATTCTCTGAAACTAACATTCAAAGTAAGCATTGTTTCTGAAGGTAGCTGTGGGTATTTTAATCACACAATAGAAGCCAAAATGAAGTGTTTATCCCTCCTTTGAATAGTGATGTCAGACCTTTACATTGAGAATTTCCATTGAAAAATCTGTTTCCATTTCACAGAATATTTCCTGTAATAAACAAAAATGCACATATAATGGATGAGCAAATAATGTTTTAGAGACAGGAAAATTCTAGCAGGACATTTACGGTAATTATTTCTTCCCTTTCTCTAATGTGTTAGTGTCAGTTATGAAAGAGAGAAAAAAATATCAGGACTGACAATCCTGTGATAGTTCTCATTACAGGTTAAACAGCCCTTAATGAGAGGAGCTATAATAAGATTTAAAAGATTGAAGATTGAAATCCACAGGTGCCTAAACCTTTGCTTCAGATAAAAGATTAGGGGCTAGAACTGAGGATATAGCACAGCTTGTAGAGTGCTAAACTTGCCTGCATGAGGTTCTGGGCTCATTTCCAAGCAACACATACCTAAGTTTAGGGGCTGGAGAGATGGCTCAGTTGTTAAGAGCACTTGCTGCCCCTCCATGTGGACTGAGTTCAGCTCCCAGCACCCACATCAGGAAGCTTACAACAGCCTATAACTACAGCTCCAGAAGATCCAGTGCCCAAAGGTGGCCTTTGTGGGCACCACACACATACATGGGCTTGCACACATATACATTGAAATAAATAAAATATATTTTTAAAGCTTATAAATTATACTTCAAAAACCATTTGTATAGTTGGCCTAAACATTCCTTCTTGATTCTGTGCAGAGTCCGTGAGCAGAAATAATCCTTCTCTAATCTCAAACAAGACTCATGTGCTTTGAGTGATCTACTGCTTTGCATTAATTAATTAATTAATTAATTTATTATTTTTGTCTTTTTGAGACAGGGTCTCCCTGTAGCGCCAGCTTACCTGGAACTCACTGTGTAGACGAGGCTGTCCTCAAACTCACAGATCTGCCTGCCTCCGCCTCCCAAGTGCTGGGACTAAAAGCATGCGCCACCACGCCCGACTCATCACTCTAAGACAGGATCTCTCACTTAGTCAATTTAGCTGCTAGGCTGGCTGTCCAGGAGCCCCCTGTCTGTCTCCCCAGCAAGTATAGGCATGAATGAACCATAAACAGCATTAGCTGGTTTTTCGCATGAGTGCTGGGGATGTGAGCTCAAGTTCGCATGCTTGTTCCACATGCTAGTTAGCCAAGCCTTTTACTGATGCGTTTAATTTATCTTTACCCATTTGGAGTCCTGAGTAAGTTACCCCACTGCTTTGAGCTCAGATTTCTCTTCTATAATGGGTAGACAGGAGAACTGCTAAAGACTGGTTAAGCATCTACAAGCAGACAAAAGCCATGGCAGTCACTCTATAGACTTCCAGGAATGATGTCATCACATAGTAAAAAATAACACACCTATCATCCGATAGATATGATTATTTTTAATCTCATTTTGTAATTGAGGCTCAGAAAGGATAAGGCACATTCCCCAGTCACAAAGTACAAAACCCCAACTCCCTTCTGATTCTGTGCACCTCCCATCTCCCTCTCCTCTTCTACTTCCTTAACACTGAATTTGTCATGCAGTACCTAACTGAAAGGAATCTGTTAAATGAATGAAAGACCCACTGATTGCCTTAATTACCTGTGGACATCTGCCTCCTAAAATTAATCTATTTATTGATTTTGGTACTTTGCATATTGTCAGCAACTAAATTAAGGACACAGTACACATCAGTTTTCTAAAAGAGACTGTATGGACCTAAAATGAAAATTTGTATATATAATCTGGGGTATTTAATTCTATCTTAACATTAAATAAGTTAGATTATGTTCATGATATTGAGTTGTTAGACAGTTATACAGTGTAAGTCTTTTTATTTTTTAAAATATTTTATTTATTATTATTATTTTTTTAAACAGTGTAAATATGGTATTTTGAGGGTTATCTGTAGCTCCAGGTCCAGTGTCTGGCAGGTGTTAGGTGCATCTTGATATGTGTGGTCCTGTATGTGATATGTGATGGTGGCTAATAACTATCTGTAACTCTAGTTTCAGGGGACTCCAGTGCCCTCTTCTGACCTCTGAGGGCATTGTGCAACACCGGTGCATTTACACACATGCAGGCAATACATTCATACACGTAAAATAAAAATAATAAATAAAATATCCAAAAAAGAGGTGGGTGCCTGATGTGTCCTGATGCTTTATGGACAGCACACTCTTCTAGAGAAGGGAGGATGCTTCCAAATGCTAAGGACAGCTTTGGCGATGATTCTATCAGCTATGAAAATCAGCCTTGGCCTGTGCAGGTTGCCAGAAATAAACCAGAGTGGCTAATCACATTTAGCCGGTGGGACTAATGAGAAGGCAATGGGCCAAGTGAGGTCCAGACAGTGAGCTGTGCGTCCCCCTTCTCCTTCCCCATCTGTGCTCAAGGGCAGATGATCAAGGCATAGGAAGAGCGGGAAGGAAAAGTTAAAGTAACTGTTCCATATTTATTTGCTGACTGTAAAAATATTTGCAAATAGCTGGGCATGGTGATACATGCCTTTAATCTCAGCACTCAGGAGGCAGAGGTAGGCAGATCTCGGTGAGATCCAGGCCACCTTTCTCTACATAAGGAGTGCCAGATCAGCTGGGGCTACAGGGAGACCCTGTACCCCGTGGTTGCCCATCGTTGCCCGTCCCCCCGACCCCCGCCGCCAAATAGAAACTTTCTTTTGAGGTTCGGTACCTGTGTTGCTTAAGTAAGAGTATTATCATCAAAATTTCCTTTACATAACGAAGTTTAAATTAAAAACAAAATCTGGATAGTTTTATGCATCTATATTGTGAATTTTAGTGATTTTCATACCCCATTCCCCTACCTCATCCCTGCCCTTGTCCTGATGGAACCTTTCTTGTTAACATGTCTTCTCCTGCTTTTATGTCATTCTGTGTGTGGCCCACTGAGTTTAGTAAGAGTTATGTGCCCAAGTGTTGGGGGAAGATATTTGGTGCAGCAAGGGAACTTATCTGTGGTGACACCAGTGAAGAAAATGGTACCCCTCTCCCAACAACCGCTCACTGTCACCCCTCTGGGAGGGGCAGGGACTCATGAGCTGGACCATCAACAAAAATTTTAAAATATATCTAAAAAATTTTAATATGACTATATTTTTCCATTAAGCCTATACCCCATGGTTCCCCGGCCTTCCCTTTTCTAATTTCTTTACCCTTCCCTTTAATTCCCTTTGTTCCCCTTAACAGTTTATCTTCTGTTTTCATGTAATATATACATACATAATTTGGCATATCTGTATAAAGTCTAGGAACCACAAATAGGGGAAACTATATCTTTCTCTTTCTGAGAATAGCTTAATTTTCTTAATGTGACTATCTCCAGGACTCTAAGTTGACATGTCACATTGGTGTTTATTACAGCACTATTCACAATAGCTAAATTATGGAACCAGCCTAGGTGTCCATCAAAAGAGAAATGGATAAAGAAAATGTGGTACATACACATGATGGAAATTTTATCAGTCATAAAGTAGAATGAAGTCATGCTGTTTGCAGGAAAATGGTTACCCAGCAAATTTAATGTAGTAATTTCCCTGGTTCAACTTTCTCCCTTTACACTTGAAGAACAGTGGTACAAACGTCACATGACTAATTGATGACAGAAGACCTCTAGGAACCACATCTCCTATGCCATGTGGTATTTATCTTTCCTGAACTAGAGGGCAGTTCCCAGAGGCAGCAGCAGGAGCACAGCAGTTTGGATGCATCAAGGAAGTGGGAGCTGAGTCCTCTGGGAGAGAAGCTACTGGAGACAGAGTGGGAAGCAGTGCTAAGGAGACCCTGGACTATGGATGACGAAGAGGATTGGCCAGAGATAGAGGCCAGTCAGAGGCCCTGGGAAGCTTCCCATTGTCCCAGAGAAAGGCAACAACTACTACCATTTGACTTGCGTTTGTAATGAGCACTTTTATGTAATTTTTAAATATTATTCCTTAGAGCAATTCTCAGACATAGTGTTATGATTCCCATTTTACCCAGTGAGCTAAAATCATTTACTTACAAGCACAGCATAAGGTGTGGAATCAGAGGGCATGTTTCTATTCCTGCTCTGCTGTTTACTACCTGCGAGAGCTCAGGATGTCTAAGGACCTCTTAAGTTCATCTTAATTTCTAAAATTAGGAAATGCTGTAATTTGTGGGGTTGTGCCCCTTCCCCCCTCCGCTCATTGTGTGTGTTTTGGTTCTCAATATGTAGCCCTGGCAGGCCTGGAACTCATTAAGTTGACCCAGATTGGCCTCAAATTCTTAGCAATCCTACCTCTGCCTCCTGAATACCTGGAGTACAACCACACACTACCACACCCAGCATCTCTCATGGTTGGTTTTTTTTTTTTTTTGGTAAGGATTAAATGTCTTTTATAAAAATACTAGTACTATGATCTCAAAAATACTAGTTTCTCAAAAAACCAAAATGAATTTTACCAAATGAACCAGCCTACACCACTCCTGTGTATTTACTAAAAGGACTCTAAATCAGTGTACCACAGAGATATTTGCTCATCAATATTTATTACAGCATATTCACCACAACCATAGGTTGAAGTTATGGATTCAACCTATGAGTCTGTCAGAAGAAGAATGACCAAAGAAAATGTGGTATACATACACAACAGAATTTTATTCAGCCATAAGGAAGAATGAAATTGTCTTTGTGGTGAAATGAATGTTATTGGAGAGTATCATATTAAATGAATTAAGCAAGACCCAGGAAGACAAATATGAGATATTTTCTCACATATGTGAGCTGCACATTTTATATAGAAAAGCAAAATCACAAATTTATCTATTTAATATCTATATCTCTATATCTA